GCAGGCGGCAGGCGGGAATCGAACTCATGCGGAAGTGGCTTCAGATTCTCAGTGCTGTGCTTTAACCCGCTGCGCCACCAGGGAGGGCCATGACATGGCTTTTTAAAGGTATTTTCTTTTGAATCTGAAACTATTTAGGTTACTTTCACTGCTTATGGCACCATGTTCTAGTTTCCTACTTTTCTTCTTTAAAAATGTGATTTATATACTCTTCCCGCCCTAGTACTGGACTGTGGTGATGGCACATGGGTGCAAAGCTGTGTAACCTGAGCTGACTTGCTGGTTTATGACCTTATAATCTTGTGAGGTCCTGAGTTACAAAGCTCAAGAGAAAAAACTGTGAGAGATTGTTAATTTATAGCGCATTTGCTGGGTACTTAACTAACCAACGTTTTATTCATAGGCTATTTATAGATCACCTCCTGCAGACAGAGTATTGTCATCGGTACTGGGATATAGTCATCTACTAGGCAGACACAACCCTGAGCTCATGTAGTGTCTATTCAAACAGAGCCAATAATTAATATATATAGCGAATTGTTCATTTCAATTATGATAACTGTTTCGAAGGTGGTCTACATGATGCTGTAAGACTTGAAAATAACATTTCGGCTGAACTATTAAGGAAGAATAGCAGAAGTTTTCTGGGGTATGGGCAAGGAAGGATATGTTCCAGGCAGAGGGGAAGCTCTGAAGTGGAAAATAATAAAGAGCAAAGGGAGATTGATTTGAAAGGTCTCATAGGGCAAATTAAAAATATTGGACTTCATCCAAAGATTAATGTTGAAAGGAAGTAGTGGGATCACTTTACCCTTTTAAGGTTCCAATTTAAAAAAAAATGGAAACTTAGAATTTTCCACAAAGTTATCTGATTTTGTCAGTCAGCTAAAGAATATGATAATAAGAACAAATGTGGGTCTTGAAACAATGGGAAAGAAATAGGGGACTGCTCCCAGACCTGGTCCTAGACAGTTACAATGTTAGTTGGAACCAGATATTAAAAGTCTGATCATGTTGATAGACTTTATAATGAAGGTAATGATAAACCTTAGAATTTTATAATCAGAACAATGACTAGAAAGATAACTTCTAATGTAGGAGATGAATTAGAGGTAAGGGTAGTGACTGGGAGCCTAGTTAGGTTACTATAATTGTCCCAGTAGGAGATGAAAAGAGTAAGCTAATGAAAACAACAACAACAACAACAAAAACCCTACCAGTAATATCAAGAGAATATTGTAGCTGGGGGAAGTGAGGCAAGGTATTTGAGAATGATTGTAGTAGTTCTAGTGTGGGCAACCAGTAGATGGGATTCTGTTCATCTAGATAAGAACATGAGGATATACACGCTTTGGACTTTTTCAGTTTGAATATGTGAAATATATAATGTTTTGAGTTTAAATTCCCTGTTGGGGTATCCAGGTGGACACAACTGGAAACGTAAATGTGGTCACTGAAGGATATTGACAAAGGAGGAATCAGAGCTGGATACATATGTGGTCATGACCATCTTAGTTGAAGCTATGTGAGTTGAGTTCTCTTAGTGAAAGTATGGAAAGCTGTGTTTGAAACTGTGGTGATACTACTAGCTAAGAGAATACTAATGGCTAGGTCTAGCAAAAGAAGACTGAGAAGGACATTTAGAAAGGATAGTAGTATTGTCTGATAGGAAAGGTTTTTCAAAGAGCAGTGACCACCAGGCCCCAGGGAGGCTCCTACATGAGGGGTTTGTTCTCCCCGCAGTTAGTGTGCTCTTGCCCAGATAGCCCCATGGATTCATTCACTCATCCTCTTCACTTCTTCAAACCAGCCTCTCAGGGAGCCTTCCCTGAATACTATATCTGACATTCAGCACCCTCCTGCACAACTCCGCTCCTGGCATTTATTGCCTCCCTTCCCCATTTCTGAAACCCTCACCATTTCTGACATACTATAGATACATATGTATGTATGTGTGCATGCATGTATATATGTATATATAGACAAGACACCTGCTTAGTCTACTGCCATCTGTCCTTGTTTATCCCTCCATGAAAATTGTTTTTTTACTTTTTTTTTTTTTAAAGATTTATTTATTTATTCGTACAGAACTGGGGTACAGGCCAGAGATGTGGAGGGT